CCATGTGCCAGGGGGATCATCTTCTCCACTTGGGTTCTGTGGTGGCAAGAACCTTCGACAAGAGTGCTTCAGAGCTAAAGAGCCTCCACTGCACTCCTCTCATCACCCGCCTGGCCACCTACTTCCATATATCACTGCAGGGGTGCACAGAGCAGGGGGACACCAGTGCATTTGGCGAATATACGATCTCTCGCATGCACCTGCTTCGAGAAGAGCGAGGAGTCAAGTGGATAGAGGGGTTTCCTCAACCTCATATCCCAGCGGAGGACCAGCCGGAGGTTCCTGAGGATGAGGCTGATGAGGATGTCCACCCCGAGGATGTGGATGATACTACTGCCGCCCGCCTCACCAACTTCGAGTACGGGGGTGGCAGTTCCACTTTCCCCGGCCAGGACTACTTCACTCACCAGTTCAAGCAGCTGCGTCTCCAGAATCAGCAGCTCTTCGACCATCAACTCCAATTCTAGCAGCAGTATTCGACTCACCATGCCGAGTACCAGACCCGGATGGCTGCTTATGATGAGTGTCTTGATCGGATGGAGACCCAGCAGGGCGTGACCCTGGCTCGCATCGAGAGGGAGCAGGGCCGATCTCGGAGCATGCAGGAGGTCCAGTAGCACCTGCTCCAGCTGCTACCAGGCGAGCAGCCAGTCTGGAGGACTCCCTGGGAGGACTTTCCACTTCCACCTCCATCAGCTGATGATGATGATGCCTTCATGAACGACATCGATCTGGACAACCTTGGCGACGAGTAGGTTGTACTCGTCGCCCCTCAGTGTGTGTTTTTGTTTTAGACTTTTTATGTTTGCTCCATGTGTTTGAGGAGCTTGAACTGAGTCTGTCGTTTGTTTTTATCCTTTTTCTTTCTTTTGTGGATTGTTTATTTTGTGGCCATCTGGGCCAACTCTGATCCCTAACGCACAGTGTGCTAGTGTGTTCTTGTGTCCCCTTAGTGCAGAAATGTCCGTTCGTTCCATATGTCCCCTGCTGACTGGTCCACTTCCAGTCTTCCGCAGTATTTCAATCTCGTAACATCGTTCCCCTTCTCTTCCCCTCTGCTCCATTGAGGGCAATGTCGTGCTTAAGTGCGGGGGGGTGTTTATCTATTGTTAACTGCTAGATGAGTTTGTGTGCTTGGAGCCTAGTCCGCTGTCCAAATCTCGAGATTTGAGGGCTCCAAGTACGGCTGTTTGATCATATTGGCACTGTGTTTTGATTGGTGAAATGAATGGTTTTCGGATTAATGCATGACAACTGGATGGTGACTAGGACAACCTATAATGATGACTGAGACGTGCAGTAGAATTGTGTAGGAGTTCAGTTTTCAACTGTTTACTTACCAACTGTGACTTGGATGGATCACTTTTTCTTGACAGTCGTTTATGCATCTAGTTCAGGGAATCATAATGAGAGATAGAGCATATAGGTAGCCATGTGAGATTTGAGCCTGCTCGTTTCTTTCTTGTGTGATAGTTCCCTCTTACATGATGTGTAGCATTCACGTTGTCACTAGCTAAGATGATGGAGACATAGGAATAGCCCACGACCAAATTGACTGTCCTGGTGTGTCATACCCCCTAGTCAGCCCTTTGAGCCGTGTACTTTCCTTTCTTTCGGTCTATAATGGAAAATCACCCTTTTTGCATCTCTTAGAAGGTTCCACAGAGTGGTTTTTGCTTGTTCTCTGTTGTTACTGCTAAAAATAATGTGAGGGTTGGAGGTAATGCTTAAAAGTTGGGCATGCGTTTGAAAAATGTGCAGAGGTGGTGGTTCTCTCAGGAAATGAAATGAAAAAAGAAAAAAAAAGGAATGAAAGCAAAAGAGAGCCACTACCAAAAATCTGAATCATGCTCATTAAGTAGTGTTTCTCACCAGCCTAGCTTAGAAATACTAACATTATTGTGGCCTCCTTCGCTCTTGTGCTCTAAAGAATTTGAGTAATGCAGAATGGAAGAAAGAAAGTAAGAGTTTTTATTGGCTGTGAGTGTGTTGGGTTTGGAACTGTGGAACCTTGTGCTATGAATACTTCCACCACCTAAAAGGCTTTTTCCCCATGTCCAATACCCTAGCCAGTCATTTGAACCTGTGTCTAAGACCTCCGGATTGGTTAGTGGTGACATCCCTTATGTGAACTCTAACATTTAGAGGCTACCATCATGGTGAAGAGACGTTAGGATTCGAGAGAATAAGCATGCACATTTTTCGCATCAAATTCTCCAGACCCCACTGGTCAAGAGTGAGCGATTCATTTCCTTGTTCTTTATACTCTTTACCTCGGTGAAGACCTAGATGGCTCGGTCTTGATTCTAATGTCTTGAGTTTGATGCATGCGATGAGTGTCTTGGCTAAGTGGTTGAGTCGAGTCTATGTTGGTTGATGAACAGAAGGGAGACTCTTCCTTTACCCGATTTTGCTGCACTCGAATGTCTTCTGTGATGGTTGTCCATGTGTTAATGATCAAAAGCCAGTATGATTCACGTGTTTTGTGCAAATATGATATGTTCCCAAGGGTTGCATGATTAAGATGTTTTGAGCTTACCTTGTGTCTGACTTGGTTTGCTTGGGGACAAGCAAACAGATAAGTGTGGGGCATGGTTGTCACGCCCGCCGGCGTGCCACTAGTTCAACCTGGTTTAACCTGTACCGGTCATAAAACCGGCATGACACCACCGGTATGACCGGCATGATCGATATACGAATCTCCAAATAAAATGATCTTATCTTAGTGAATTTAATTGAAAAAAGTAATTTATTATTTATTTTATGTGTTAAAAATTTAAATGTTGATGTTATTTGTTGGATTCAAGTACAAATATTTAGGTATTGACATTAAATGTTGTGTTTAAATATGAGAATTAATAAATTATTTATAATATTAATCGGGATGAACCGGCACAAACCGGTATGTACCACCGGTTGAACAATTCCACTTGCTAAACCGGCACATTGGCATAAACCGGTTTGACAACCTTGGTGTGGGGGAATTTGATAACTATGTATTTGCACGTTTTTGCATCCTTATTTCTTATCCATTTTCAACTCCTAGTCGTGCATCTTTGGCCTATTTTGCGCTAGGTTGTGAAATTTTGTCATATTTCAGGTCCCAAGCGTTGAAGGAAAGGCTAGGCACAAGTTTCAAGTCAATCGGATAACAATTGGCGATTCGGGAGAAGAAACTCGGGCATGACCAGAAGAAGAATGGATTTATAACTCATTTATGTATAAAGAATCATGCAATCTTTTCATTAAAAGAAAAAGGACGAGATTACGAGCGTCTGGGATCAAACGTCGACTGATTCGGAGTCCGGACGAGGGAGAAACGAAGCATTGAATATAGGGGAACAAGTTCGGCAGTAAAAACACGGGGAGACTAAACTAAAAACACGGTCGTGTTTTATCTGGCCCCCGCTAGTGTTTTTACTGCCGAGGGCGTGTCGTGAGGACTGCTGGGGGCAAAACACGGGCGGGCAAAAGTAAAACACGGTCGTGTCCTCGACCGTGTTTTGCCCAGAATCGGGTTTTTGAGGCAAATTCAAGCCAAAGGAAAGAGAGAGCTTGGTTTTGATTCCCAAACACCCAAGGGACGAACCCTAGAGAAAGAGAGCGAATTGGGAACATTCTTGGAGCTATTTTGGAGGATTTTTTTCGCCAAATGGAGCTCGCGAATCAAGCTTGGAGATGGAGATTGAAGATCTAGATCAGATTTCTGCAGTCTCTCTTCTCTATGTAGTAACTTCCCTTCACTTAGGTTTTGAGGAACCCTAGTTCCATGTGTTAGGATCTTTCTTGTATGAAGTTTTGGATGCTATATTGTTTGATTATAATCAATTAACGCATGATTTATTTAGTCAATTGAAGTCTGATCATCTTTTCTTGATTTCTGCTTTAACCTATGATATATAGAATATGATTAGGTTAAGAGAGCTTCCTTGATTGATAGTGGTGAATTGGTTGTGTGAGAGTCAATCAATTCACTGCTTTGTACTGGAATTCATTCCAGTAGTGGAGATCTGTGTGAATCGCCTTAGCAGTCTATCCTGGTGAAGGCTAGTCGCCTGTCGGGTATTCTGTCTAAGAGGGCTTGGTCAGCTTAAGAGATACCAAGCTAATTTAGGATTTTCCTCAGTTTAATCAACAGTAGATTAACCAAAGGTAATTGCAACTTGGACCTAATTGAGGAGCTAGGGGGAATCATACCTAAATTTGTTCCCAACTTGTAATTAGTAGAGTAGTTAAAATAGTAGTTTAGTAAATCAATCATTAATCTAGTTTGCTAGATAATGAACTGAAGTTGAGTAATAGTAACTCTAGAGACCCGTGGATTCGATATTTATTACTTGTGCCACTGTATTGCAGTCCCTTTCATTGGTTACACTTGGCCATTGTTAGGTGTTACGTTTTAGCGTGTCAAACTTCCTACTCTATATGCTTTTAATTGATATGTTGTGCTCGCTAGAAGATAGTTGCATGATTAGAGTACCGGTGTATGAGGGGTTTTACTATCTTCTTCCTCTTTGGTGAGTTGATAATGTTTGCTATTTCGGAAGATCATGTGTTTGGGATACTCTTATCATTTTTTTAAATAAAAAATTTTAACAAATAGGCTCTCGCTTGAGAGGCAACCAATCCTCGTGGTTTCGAGTGCCCTTTGAGGATATGTTTGGGGATCGGATAGCTTTACCGCGTCCCGACCATCTTTTACTACTTACCATCCATCAAAAACCAAGCTTTCCGCGACGGATTTATGTTTTTCGTCGCAAATTGTATTAGTCTTTTGCCAAAAAAATATGTCCGGACAAACAGTATTTGCTACGAGAGTAAGCTGTATAGCGACGAAACAGTGCGTCGCAGAAGGTAGAAAAGCTACTGCGACGAAGTTTATTGTCGCAGAAAAACTAATTGTTTAGGCCACGAGTTGCTCCGTCACGGAATTTACCTTTTTATTTTTAATTAATCTTTTCACAAAAATGGCATCGTTTTAGGTTTGTTTTTGTCCCACCCTAAATACTACTTTTCAACCCTAGCCGCTATCTCTCACATTCTCAACATTCTATCTTCTTCCTCCCTACCCACCCAAATCCGCCTCCTAGCTCTGTCTCCTCACCAAGCAAGTCACTCTTCCTGGAAATCAATTCTTCATTCTACTTTCAAAACTTCGTCTCCGCCGATTATTATAGCGTCTTTGCCGTCATAAAAAATGAGAAAGAAATCATGCCAGCTCTTCGATTACTTCCACTCAATCTTCACATTTCGTATCCCCAGTTGCGCAAGCCCCTTGATCTGCAATTACCTCTTCCCGCTCAAGATCTTGAGCGCCGCATCTCTCAATCTTGGAGAAGGTATGAAAAAGTGTTTTATAATCTATTTCATCCCTTTCGCCTTCTCAACTATCGAGCTCATCAGAAAATTGACGAGATTCGCCGTCCGATAGTCTACAAGGATCGGTAGATCGGTTGGATTCTTATGATAAGATCTTCTCCCACCGACATATTCCCCAATCTCCGTCAGTGTCTATTTAATTTGTTTAGTATTAGTATTTAGGGCGCCGCTGACAGTGCTAGAATATGTTTGTGTTAATGGTGGAGGTGGAAGTGGATTGAGCTACTGAACAAAGATTTGGAGAAGGGAAGCTCCAGACAAGGTGAGTGATTCGGTTCTACTCATCTTTGTATGTGTCAATTTAGTGCTCATGGAGGTAATTGGTGTAGAAACCGTTAACAGCAACGACTGAGGAGTAATGGCTACAAGGAGAAAAGAATGAAACAACAATTAGATCTGGGTGAATTATGTAAGATATATGAGCTAATATCGTATTTCCCATCTCTCACTAGAGTTGCTCTGACAGTGAACTTGTGTTTTTTTTTCTCTCTCTAGGAACTCTTACTGATTAATAGATACCATGAAGTCAACAATATATGTTTTCAGTGTGATGATAACTAGTTCAGAAGAAGCTAAGAAATCTATAGCATGACCCCTTTCTCGGTAATTGCTTCCTACCACCCTTTACCTAGCCAAAATTCTAGTACGTCTTGTTTCTTATATATGTTTATGTTTTGCTTGGGATGGTGTTTGATAAATCTGTGTTGACCTCTGAATTAGTATACCATGTTAAGTTCATCAGATATAGCATTAGTAAATTATTGGAGAGGGTGGATGTACCTTAGTGTGCTCTGCCCTTGCATGAATTCTACCATATATAGTCCAAACTGTTATTGCTAAACTATTTATTGCCCAGTTTTCAGATTCTGCATACTGTATGGTACAGAGTAGACAATTGTTTTGTGGTAAGTCATTGATGTTCAAGGTGATGGGTGAAAGGTGTGGATGAACGGGCTCCAAGTTTGGCTTAGGGAAGAATGTAGTTAAATTTTGTTTCACCACGAAATGGGTGCAGGGAATGAGAGCTTTGTGTTTGATTGTTTATTTGTCTCTTTCAACATCTCTTGAAACCATTTATGTTATACACTTAAGTTTGTGCTCGGTGGTATGCAGATTACGGGCAGAGCTACTAATACAAGACATGAGCGAACAGAGTATCCCTAGTAGGTACCCTTGCTTGCTTGTTGAAAATACGAAATAGATATTGTTACTGTTTTAGTATCACAAATGGACATTGGGGTTATATTTCTATGTTTGAATTTGATTGGATGCACTTTCCTCCTTATCAATAGTGATCTATGATGTTCAAGGCTTGCTGACGAGAAATAGGAGGGTTTTTTTGTTTTCCTGGTAGCACAACCCGTGGTTGGTGAATGAATTTATGTACTAGTCTATTATTGTATAGTTTTATGTACAAGACTAGCCACTCATGTGAACGATGTACATATTAATTGAAGCTTATATGATAAATATACTCCAACAGGTTATCAATGAGTATTCCCAGACGCAGTAGGTTATCATGGCTTGAATGAGGTGTGTTGAGAGTTAAACCTGGCTTTTACTAAAACACTTGCATTTTTACATTGTATTTATGTTCATATGCGTTGCTTGATGGTGAATTTTGCTATATTAGTTGTGTTTCTTTCTTTTACATTGTATATATATGTTACAAGTGAAATTCTGGACTTTTATGGTTGCATATTTGTGTATACCTAAATCATCATACTAACTTCTTACTAATTGATTATGTATGCAGATAATCAGCTAAGGTTGGATATTTTGGCTAAGGAGTAGGATGTTGATATTTTGAGTATGAACGATTAAAGCTTTCATATTCGTGTATAGTTCTATAAAGATTGCAAATGTCGTGGCTTGTGTATGGATTTATTATGTATGAGATTACTCTGCTGAAAAAAAAATATATATATATGGTGGCGTATTCGGTGCACCCACTTTTTCGGGTGCACTCAGTGCACTCACTTCATAACCGTCATTTTAAACATGCGATTCATGTCAAAATGATGTCAATCATCACTTATGATGTGATGAACAATAACGCACATGAATTTGCACAAAAACCATCAAAGATTTACTTTAATTTGAAGGATTTAGAGTTTAGAGATTTAGGGTTAGGGTTAGGGTTTACAATTTGGGGTTTAGGGATAGAACTCAAAATTGGAGGTCTAGGGCTTAGGGTAATCCGCTAATTAGTTGTTATCTTATGTTATATCATCATATTACACTAATCTACAAATTCAAATTCAAATTCGACACCTTAAGACTAGTTTTTGAGTTGGGTGCATTGAACGTACTCATTTTTGTGAGTGCACCGAAGTAGTCACCATATATATATATATATATATGTATGTTCATTTTGGGGGCCTAAATTACCCGGTTTTATTTCATTACATTAGAACGATATTGATAGTGTATTGAAAAAAAAAAAAAAAGTATTCATGTTGCATATAAAAATTAATGATGCTTTAGCGACCAAAATTTCGTCGCCAAAAATTGATGTATCTGGTGGCAGCGTGCTAGCTTTTCGGCGATGGAATTGTCGTCGCAAAAAGTTTATGCGACGAATTATGTGATTGTAGAAGTCATATGTTCCGCGACGGACGTTTCATCGCCAAATCTCTGCGATGATGACTTTCGTCGCCAAAACAAAATACTGCGCCGACATCTTTCGTCCTAGAAGCATCAACATTCAGCGACGGATGATATCTTTTGCAACGGATACCTTAATTTTGTCGCAAAAACCTAGGGCAACGCGATATAGGCGAAAAACTGAAATTTACTTTAGCGACGCATTACCTCGTTGCAGAAACTTTTGGCGACAAAAATTTAAGGTCTTTCGCCACGAAATTGTGGGGACAAGCAAACACTTGAGTGTGGGGGAGTTTGATAACACCTAAATTAGTGTGATTTTCCTTTCATATTTAGGTTTTTTTTCGTGCCAATTCATGTGCATAATTGTTTAAATACCGTCGATTCCATCCCTATTTCATTCCTATTTAATTATGATGTGATTTTAGCGTGCTGTATACAATACATGCGAATTAGGTATGAAAAAGGACACAAGTGTAGCAAAAGGGACAGAAGACTGATGATAACGACCTGAAGATGGAGATCATGTCCAAGAACACAGACTGCAAACTTAAGGTAAAGATCGCGGCCTGAGAGCCCAAGATCGTGGCCGCGAATCTGGAGGCTTTGGTCGCGAACTTCGTGAAGAATCTAGCCGAGGAGAAACAGAGATTTTCCCAATCTAATCACGACCACAGTTGACACTGACCGCGAGGAAGTTCGTAGCGATAACTCAAAGATTACGACTGCGAAGTTAGCCCCTTGCATTTGAAGGCTAAAACGGCGTCGTCGACAAATCGCGGCCTCTATGAAGAAGATCGCGACCGCGATCTTTACCCTGCTTGACCGCGAACTTGTTCGTCCTCTGAAGGTTATAAATAGAAGACCTCCTTCTCCTATTTGAGAGAGATGATTTTGAGATAGAAATTTGTGGTTAGAGAGAGAAGAGAGATAATGTGAAGGAATGAGAATAGGAGAAGAAGGAGGAGGAGCTAGAAGAGAGTAGCCATCTTACTCGACATATCAAGTCTTCCCCAATTTCTTCTATGTATCTTCTTTCCTCCTTTATGGAGTAGTCCACTAAGGTATTAGGGGAAATGAATGAATGTGTTTATCTATTTGATTTTAATGCTTCTCTAGCTTCGATTGTGTTTGGGTAAGTCGCCCAAATCTTCTCTACTAGCCTACTTGTGCTTCTACGCTGGGTATGGAGTTTTAGGGCTAGACGGGTATGCGCCATCAAACAAATTATGCTAGATGAATGAATAGGATCTTATGGTCGATGAGACGACCGTACCCTTGCCATAGAATGTCTTCCTAGATAAAACCCGAGATAAAACCTCAGTGTGGACGGTGGGCAGTACATATTGAAATGAGCTATGTTCTTAATTCCCCATATACAATAGCCTAGGTCGAGGTGACTGACATGGGTTTAGGGGAGGCCTAGTAGGAGGCGTGTGGATAACCACGAAAGCCCACGAAAAAGAGCTCGCTCACCACATTCGACAAACCCTACTTATCTAGACATTGCATATTAAACCTAGACTAGGGTGAGGGATAGTTCCCCTAAGTACCTGTTTTTTATCTTTATTAACTCTTTTTACTAGTTATTTCGCTTCAATCCTCCAACACAAACCCTTAAACCGATCGGCTAGATAACAACAATGTGGGAAGTAGTCTAGAGTACCGGGACCCGAGTGAATACATCTTGATTGCCACTATATGACAACATCATCTTATGTTAAAGTTGAACTAGGATGGGGTAGTAATTGATACGTGCTAACCACAGACAATAATATGCACGGAATGAATCAATCAGTGTCTCGCGAAGGAAAGAAATAGGATGGGGCATGTTGACCCATTGTTAATTCACCCAAGGTGAAGGAATTAATTCCTTCTGATCCCAAAATAAATAAATAAAACCCAGTTATCGTCACTTAGGTTGCTGATTTATTTTGTTTTGCTTCTTCTCCAATTTGCATGTGCATCCATTATCTCTTATTTTTTCACCTAAACATACCAAAATTATAGCACATGGTGGTAATGGTCTTATAACCATTTAATAATCAGTTGGCTCTAAAATAAGTGTTATATGTCTCAACCATATCATCAAATATTCATTGTAAGCACACAAAGTCAAAATGTTTTCGACGATTATCAATATACTTGGCTTTGTGAAGGTTAGTAGTTAGCGAGCATCATTTTATCACTCGATCTCACACCACATGGAGAGTGCGAGTCAATATATTAAAGTTGTGAATGGGTCAGTGGTTGATTAGCTCGTCTTTATGATTAAGTACTCCTTTCCAAACTATTTGACTTTAACCAAATAATAGTTTAAACAATTGAACTTTCATAATTAAGGTATTCAACTTCTAATCCTTATGGACACCTTTGGTTCTAAAATTAATTATTTTTAATTTTTTCAAAATAATTATTGATGGAAATTGATTTTTATTTATGAAGATATTGGAAAAAGCTATGATCACTATGAGTCAGACTCAATAGAATTTGATCAATCCTTTTTTCTGTCGTTAAGGTGGAGAACTGAACCAAGAATTCTTTTTCTTTATCATCAATCGAATCACAGTTCGCGACCAAGGATTCTATTTTATCATCAATCCAATAACTGTTCACGTTTTTTCTTTTTCTTATCAATGAATAAATCTCTTTACTTGTATGACTTAGATGTCTTATATTTCTCGAAATGCATGGTTAATTTTGTATTCGCAATGTACTAATTTATTTTGAACATATCTTAATATTAATTATAGTATAGTATAGATTTGGTTTTGGTTATCTCAAATCATGTATCATATAAATATAAAAAAACTAATTTTTATCATATTATAATATTTTTTATTCTTTTTATGATAGTACAGTAAAGAACTTCGTCCCCTCGAGTTTCTTATATTGACTATGTCCCTTATTGTTGACAAATCTTATAAAGATGGATGAAGTGACTTTTGTTTAGTTATTCTCCAAAGGATTGGTGCCATAATGCTAAATGTACATGTTTAGTTTGTACTATAAAAAATTTGTACGAAAAAGTATATGTACAAAATGATTTAGTATCATAAGATTAAATACAGAAGTTCAATTTGTATCATAAAGGAATTTCTATAAAAATATATAAGTACAAATTGAACTTGTTCCATAAAATTATTTATATAAGTATAGTTTATACCATACAATTTGTTTTAAACGAAAATACCAATACTATTGAGCATTATAAAATTCCTCATTCTAAAGATAAGTTTTCTAAATTAAAAGTCTAATGACTCATTTATTAGTGACCCCAAAAAATAACTTGAATGGTAAATGTCGTCCTAAAACTAATACGTAAATGAATATACTACCCTTTTTAATTTGAAATCAAAAGAAAAAATCATACACATCCCAACTAAGTTATACAAAAAACAAATGGTGTATTTTCCCCCTTGGCCTTTCCCTCCTGCTACCCAAAAACCTTCCTCTCCCGAACTTCACACTCACAACATCCCTCTCACTCTAAACTTACCGTAATATCCACCAATCATTCAATTTTACGGCTTTCACCTATGTTCCCCTTATGTGAATTGACGAGATTGCAGATTCTCTGGTTTGGCTTCCGCAAGCACAAGCCAAGCGACAATGACGGCTGCGGAAACAGTCAAGATCTCAGATGGTGAAGATAGCTTGCCTAATCACCAAAGTCGTACTCACTTCTCCATCATCTTAGCACTCGAGCGTTAGAGGATTGCATATTTGAAAAAGGGGTGATGCTCTGTTTCCTATAGGAGTGGCGGCGAGCACGCTAGCATTCTCGCGTTTCCGACTATCGATCATCAATTTTTCATGGCCTGATGGGAGCTTTCATTAGGAAACATTTAATTGCAACAGATAAAGTGCTGGAGGACAAGGAGAATTCGCCTACAAAGAAGAAGGCGCTTGCCGGAAAACCTCGCTGCCTGGACGACTTAGCTCCTCTCCAACTTGGCCAACCATGCCCATAGTCTGCCTGCAGAAAAAGTAATACATCCCCGCCGCCTCTCTGCCCCGACCATGCTCTGCCTCCCTCTATATGACGCAGAAGAGATGAACGAAATAACATTTCACTTAGGCCAGGACCAAACCGAAGGTTTGACTTTGGTTGACCGTCGACCTGAAAGAAAATATTTTCTTTCAGGTGGACGGTCAATCGAAGTTAAACCATTTGTTTGGCCCTAGTTCAAACGATAGTTTTGTTTCATTTGACCATTGGTCGATTAAAATGGTCAATTATTTTTAATTCAAATTAAATGAAATTTATTTGAATACATAGAAGAATAGTTTTTTTAATGGTGTGTTTCTTTGAATAAAATTAAGAAAGGAAGACAAAAGGGTAGAGGTGTAACTTTGATGTATTTTAGGGAGATAATTAGTAATTATCAGGATGAAGTTTAGCAATGGACTTTAGCATAATTGATCCATGAACAAGTGAACAGAATAGCGCTGCGTGTTGTT